CTTAGGAAAGGGGAGGAAGATTCTGAATATTTTAAAAGAATCCAGAAGACAATTCTCAATCTTCAATACTTTCTAGAACACAGCTAAACCTTTGACTGACTGAATTCTCAGTCAGCCATAGCCGTCGGGGCTCGAAAGAGTAAAGGAAACCGAGACAATGTCAAACGAATTCTCAGAAAATCATTCAAAATCTAGGACCTACTTAGGAAAGGGGAGGAAGATTCTGAATATTTTAAAAGAATTCAGAAGACAATTCTCAATCTTCAATACTTTCTAGAACACAGCTAAACCTTTGACTGACTGAATTCTCAGTCAGCCATAGCCGTCGGGGCTTGAAAGAGTAAAGGAAACCGAGACAATGTCAAACGAATTCTCAGAAAATCATTCAAAATCTAGGACCTACTTAGGAAAGGGGAGGAAGATTCTGAATATTTTAAAAGAATTCAGAAGACAATTCTCAATCTTCAATACTTTCTAGAACACAGCTAAACCTTTGACTGACTGAATTCTCAGTCAGCCATAGCCGTCGGGGCTCGAAAGAGTAAAGGAAACCGAGACAATGTCAAACGAATTCTCAGAAAATCATTCAAAATCTAGGACCTACTTAGGAAAGGGGAGGAAGATTCTGAATATTTTAAAAGAATTCAGAAGACAATTCTCAATCTTCAATACCCTTTCGAACACAGCTAAACCTTTGACTGACTGAATTCTCAGTCAGCCATAGCCGTCGGGGCTCGAAAGAGTAAAGGAAACCGAGACAATGTCAAACGAATTCTCAGAAAATCATTCAAAATCTAGGACCTACTTAGGAAAGGGGAGGAAGATTCTGAATATTTTAAAAGAATCCAGAAGACAATTCTCAATCTTCAATACTTTCTAGAACACAGCTAAACCTTTGACTGACTGAATTCTCAGTCAGCCATAGCCGTCGGGGCTCGAAAGAGTAAAGGAAACCGAGACAATGTCAAACGAATTCTCAGAAAATCATTCAAAATCTAGGACCTACTTAGGAAAGGGGAGGAAGATTCTGAATATTTTAAAAGAATTCAGAAGACAATTCTCAATCTTCAATACTTTCTAGAACACAGCTAAACCTTTGACTGACTGAATTCTCAGTCAGCCATAGCCGTCGGGGCTTGAAAGAGTAAAGGAAACCGAGACAATGTCAAACGAATTCTCAGAAAATCATTCAAAATCTAGGACCTACTTAGGAAAGGGGAGGAAGATTCTAAGATTCCAGATCTTTCAGGAAGGTTCTATAAGAATCAATTAGAGTTCACATGACACTTTGCTACGGTCTGCCTACCGCTGCCTATCGCTATGGGAGTTGGGGGAGGTGACTATTAGTTAAAAAGCGGTTTCTACGTGATTCCAGCTATTCAACCCCGAGCAACAGTAGAATTATGGCGTACCTGCCATATTCGATGACTCCGAACTGCACTTCCACGAGCATGAGAGAAGGCTAGATTGTCACAGTGAGCTCATGTTCGACCGTCCGACTCCCTCAACGTGGCAAAACCGCGAGACGTGGCTCCTGAGCTGAATTGTTTTAATAGAGATGAGAATTAGAGACGCGTAAATTTACCTGTCGTCCACAAGAGATGTCCATAGAGAAGTTTCTCGGAAGACTGTACCCCGAGTGTGAACATCTCTCATCTGAATCATGTTTTTAGAAAGGATACGTTGATATGATTCGGATTACCAATCAAGCAGTCACCGCCGGCACATCACCACTCGAGCTCCAGAAGCCATGAGGAGAAAGCAGGAGAAGAGGTGGTTGTTCTTAGGAAACTTGAAGTTGGGACTGATTGTCTCTGGATCTCTGGATCCACGAGTCTTGCGAGAAGAGGGGGGGGGGAGGTCAGTGGAACATGTCATGGGATCAAAGTCGGGCCATGTCGTCCCAACACGCGGATAAAAGTTTTCAACTTCTGCTTTTCACGGCTCGATTTCTCTTTTTTAGGTCGTGTTTTTTTTGGGTTTGTGGATACTTGTAAAACACCGACTTATTTCGGTTAACTGTTACCATTTCCTCAATTCTTAATTTCCTAAATATGTCGTTTTCCAATTCTTTTTAGACTCATTTTGTCAGATACCGTATCGGACAAAAATATGTAGAAGTTTCTGATTTAGCAGTGGTCAATTTTTAAGCCCTGCTGCAAAATTGGTTTCAAAGCTCTCTTGTCAGGAATTCCATAAAAATTCCAGACTTTTAAGGGATTCGAAATTTCTAGCAGTCCGAAAAAGCAACAGAAAAGCATTGATGTGTTTTGAAAAACAGGTTCTCGAGTTATCCGAAAAACTCTATTAGATAGCCATGGCACTCCATTGTACTCTGTAACAACCAAACCAATCGCGGATTAGTGGATGCCAGCCTAGAAAAAAGCGACCCGGAGAAAAAAAGGAGAAGGAGGACACTTTTGACGCTATTCAGCAGAAGCAGCAAGATGAGGGCAGGAAGAAAGAAATAGGAATCCAGAATAATTATTTGTAGCAGATCTAATGTCTTGTTTATAGCTTGGGGATAAAAAGAAAGCAGAGAATAAGGGTGATTACAAAATTGGAACAAGTAGTGACGATGTGAGTAGTGAGTAATTCAAAGAAGGAAGACGATGAAAAGAAGAGTGAAATGAAGGAAGGAGAGGACAAAAAATCTGAAAAGAAAAGAAATCTTAATTGACATCTGTATTCTAAGATTAAAAATCATCGTTTTATTGTTTTAAAAATACAGTAATGTGTTAGATCACAATTCAAAAAAATGGAGATTCTTTTGATTTTTTAATAATCATATAGATATGAATAGCATGTGAACGATTAGAATATGTTTAGTTTCTCAGCTTTTCTTGCTGCGACTCAATAATGGTCGTCAGTTCTTTGAGAACTTGCTTGCGCCGGTCGAACTCTTCTTCTTCCATATTGAGCTGTTTCTCTAGTTTTTTGATTTCCGCATCGGCTGCCTCAAGCATTTTGTCCGTTGAGTCAGAGAGATGAAGAGCAATATCTCGCTTTGGCTTAAAATGCAAACTTAGTAACAATATGAAATTCTGACAATCACCTTTACAAAATTGTATCCCGTTTCTCTTCCCCATTCCTGATTGAGCTCAATTGAATCTTTCGTTAGTTGTTCAAGTTCGTCGAATTGCTCCAGAATATGATTTTCTTTGATCAGATGGTTCGTCTTTTCTTGAACTTTGACTTGTGTCTTTTGAATCATTCTGGACATTATGGCATCGATTTCTGCTTTGCTTATATTCAATTTGGAATGGTTATTCTGAAGAAAATAGCTTGATTTATATCTGGAATCTGTCATCTCTCTTACTAATTTCGATAAATCTTTCGACTCCGACAACACCTCTGTAAATTTTTTTAACGATGTATCGAGCATTTTCGCGAGTTCCTCTCTTCTGATCGACATTACTAGTTACCTAAATTAAATTTATCAGGATGATAAGCTTAATATTTAATGAAACAGATATATGAAAAAAGGAACAGGACCTTCGAAGCAAAACAATAGTAACAAAGCACTGAGTAGGGTTGAAAGAATGTATTGTCAAAAAGAGAAAAAACATTGAATTATTTAGTATTATTTTGAACTATTTAGTATTATTTTTGTTTCCATGTGCGTAATATGTGAGGTGGAGAACGAAAGTTTGGCTGAAAAAGAAGAATTTGAAAATACCCACTGAAATCTTAGTGCAACCAACCGATTTCGAATTGCCGACCACAGCCTGAACATTTGAATGGATTTTCCACATCATGATATCCGAGATGAGTCATCCATAGAATTGCATCAGTGAATCCCTGAGAAATAGGTTTTAGAAACTACTTGGAATCAAAGAAAGTTCAACTCACCAGCATGCAATGCAAGCATTGATATTGCTCTTTTGAAGTCCGCGGAAATAATTCGGCTATGACATCCGAAAGTTTTTCGATCATTTTAGTGTTCGACTCTGTGGTGCCAGCCAACGCAATCTGAGAGAAATTATATGAATTTTGTAATAATAATAATCTTATGTGATACCTGCACCTGCTCCAGAATCATATTCTCGTCATCATTTTCTTCCGTTTGCGAATTTTCAGCTAAGCAGCCATCTACCAAACTTTTAGCGATCTCATGCTCAAAATCGTCTTCTTTGGCGCTTGTTGAACTACCGACGCCTGTTGTTGATTTCTTCTCTTTTCGACTCTGATTCTTTTTCTCTCGGAGAAACTTTCTTTGCTTTTCGGTCATTTCTTCTGCATAGGTTTTCAACTCTCCGTGTTTGAAAGTATGATGCAGGAGCATTTTACGAAAAGATGTCACTGTTTCGAAACACTCCTGAAAACTGATCCATTGGGGGTAAAATATTTTTTTTACTGACTCGACACTTCAATTGTACGCTTCCGTCAGTGAAGTGGTTCGTTATTGCGTGATTCTCGCCTTCTAACATGGATTCTACAACGACATCGCATCCTTCGGTTCTACACGGATGAATTCTGTAAAATCGTATTTTAATAAATGAATACTTCGTCTTATGTACCCTTTACTTATATGATCAAGAATGTGGAGAAAAAGAGCATCAGTCCGATTGAACATATTTTCGCAGTAGAAGCATTTCAGAATTTTTTCATCTAAAAGTTAAATAAGGATAACATTGTTTTCAAAGTAGATTCTGTAGAACTCACTGTGCACTTTGACATGACACTGAAGTGATCTTATTGAGGAAAATGCCCGATCGCAATTCTGGCATGGGACGGTTGCAGGAGATTTTAATTCAACCTAAAACAATATAATGGGGTTAATCATGACATGAAAATGTGTTTTTAACTCTATTCATGCATGCAAAAATGTATTTCAACGTTTAAAAAAAATAATAATTCTATAAAATTGGGGACAAGACAAAAATTCCGGATTCGTAATATTTATACCTCCAACGCTAGCGAGTCGTCCATTCTCTCTGAAGAACCGATGTTCTCTCCATGTTAAAATTCGATCGACACGTTCGAATGGAGTTCATGACGTCACGGAAAAACAGCGATTTCCTTGCGCACACTCGCCAGTTTTTGAATCGCACCTGTACGCGCCAAAATTTCGAGGCTGGCCTAGGTTTTTCACTGACGACCGCTGGTTGCAGGGAATCAAGCTGGTGCACCAGTACTGATCGGTGGAAATACTGACAGCACTTTATCAGAGAAAAAAAAACAAGGAAAGGCTAAAGACCATGAATACACTGAATTGCAAATTTCCTTAGAATAAACTTTACACTCTGCACAAATGGTTGAAGGATTGCTGAGCTTATGACTAGAGGACACCTGGGGATAATTGGGCCTGCGATCGGGGAAACCTGAACAAAAGGTAGAGTGTACATCTGCCACCGGAGTAGACATGATATTTCATAATGTACTCTACGGATGCATATTTCATAATCTCAGTGGGCATACATTGGATGCACGTACATTGATTCATTAGATTGCTTATTATTCTAGTCAATTTACGCATCATCCTTTTCACTTTGACCACTGCCATTTACCAAATTGAGATTCAATTGTTCAATGTATTACCATGATCATGGCCATGATCTATTTTCATACCCGGAGAAGTGTTCTTTTCTGCTTGTTTGTTTTTTTACAAAGCACGATGAATTTCCGTTTTTTTTGCAAATATTGTTTTTTCATGAATTTCTGAAAATTGATCAATCACTATTTCTCAAAAATCAATATGAACCCGAAATTGCTCCCATCATAAATGAGATTTGACCTAATCACATCCTTCTGTGGTTTTGAACTTCTTTAACTGCGATTGTCTGTTAAATCAAAATAATTCGAAACCTTTTTGTAACTACACGAAATTGCGAACTGTATGAAAATACAAAAATAAATATATACAGTTTTTATGCCCTACAGTTCTCTGTGTCTCTTTCTCTTCTTCCATATTCGTCGTGTTTTTCCGTACACCTTTCTCCGCTTTTTCCTTATCAGATGTATCACTTTTCTCTACCAGGTTGTTTCCCCCTTCTATTTCCTAACCTCCATTCCTTACGATGACTCAACCATTTCATTCACTTTCTCAGTCTATTCGAACTGACTTTTTTTTTAGAATAAGAGGAAGAGCGGTAGAGTAAATAAATGGTTCTTGCAGTGACACTACCCGTTTCCATATTCCTGTGATACATCTTCTTCTTCTTCTTTTCCGTTTTTTAAACTACTTTGCTGCAGTTCTTGTTTCTATAAATTTTGAAATATCCATCAGACTAATATTGCAGACCACCAATCAAGATGTTCAGTGGGGAAGGGAAATTCCGGAAGACGTATCGTTACCAATTCGATCAACTTCGTTCGGGAGATGAAACAGAAATTCCAATGTCAACGCTTGCGTCTCGAATCGAAACAAGAAAGATTCCATTGAACATGGGACAAATTAATGCAATAAAAGAAGCACCAGATGAATTAGTGGACGTTGATGGATTCCAGAGAATTGTGAGTGGTTTCAGATCTCTAAACTTTCAGATAACATATATTTCTCAATAAAGAACAATATCCCTCGATGAAGAAAGATAATCCTAGATGAGGAAATGGTTAAACAAAAAGTTCTATTGAAGATCAAATAGATCTCTTAAACTAATTTTAGGTTACCTCGAAAGCAGCTCAACGTTCGACAATCAAGCGGTTGATGTATGACGTAGCAGATCCGGTGATGAGTAAGAGTCAGAAAATTGAAGTTCACTCTTATATTGATTCTTACTCATGTTGTCCACCACCTATTTTCATGTTTCTAATCACTTTGATACAGGTACCAATATCCACAAATCCATTCCTGTTATCTTATTGTTTCAGGTCGGAGTCTTTCTTTTCTATTGGGAATCAGATGGACGTAAAAGCATTTGGACAGATTGTTCTGGATGTTTTCAGCATCATAATCACACAGCACCTGGAATTTTGATCTTCGCTCCGAAATTAAGAAAAGAAGTTTGGAGATTCACATCCTATATGTTTCTTCATGCTGGGTCAGTTATTTTAATCGAAAAAGTTTTTGCAAATGTAGTCTAATTTCAGACTGAACCATCTTCTTGGTAATGTGGTAATACAATTGCTAGTTGGGATCCCATTGGAAGTGGCCCATAAAATCTGGAGAATCGGACCAATTTATTTGTTAGCCGTAACTGCTGGGTCACTTCTACAGTATGCCATCGATCCGAATTCGCTTCTTGTTGGAGCTTCAGCTGGTGTTTACGCTCTCATATTTGCACATGTCGCGAACGTTATTTTGGTGAGTAATTGCACTATAAAAGTTATAAAAAGTGAATTCCCGCGATTTTCAGAATTGGCATGAAATGCCATTCCGTTGGATTCGTGTTTTAATTCTGGCCGTTTTCATCTGTTTCGATTTTGGTGGTGCCATTTATCGTCGATTCTACGCTGATCAGTGTGATTCGGTTTCTCATTTAGCCCATATCGCCGGAGCAGTTACTGGAATATTCTTCGGATACTATGTTTTGTATAATGTCGTAGAACACAAAATCGAAACTATTATCAGATATGTCTGCTTAGCACTGTACTCTTCCCTTTTTGTAGTGACCATAGTTTTTGTTATTGTTCGACAACCATATTCCAAAAATCTTTGGAACGATGACAAGTGTACCTAGCCATGGCAAATTGACAGAACTTTTCACGGGTGCTCGGATCTTTTCTGTTACAACACCTCCATTTATTTGATGATATATTTATACTTCACAATTTCGAAAGAATTATAATAAATTATTCAATAAGCTCAAGGCCGTTCCATGAATTCGCGAATCGCATTGTAAAGACGTTCAGAAGTTCTCCGAGCCATCATTAATGGTGTGTCTCCGTTCCCAGCTATAACTCCAGCATCAATTCCTGGAAAGTTTTTTCTAAAAAAGAAATAAATTACTAATGTTTTACCAGGAGCCTGAAGTAAGTATTTTACAGTCATATACACGTCTTCTGGGTCTTCGCTAGTGCTGTTCACAGCGAGATGAAGAGCCTAGGAACAAAATTGTTGAATTTTTATTCAACTGAACAATCTAACTTACAGTCAAATTACCATTGGAAAGGGCATTCACATCAGCTCCATTACTCAAAAGACTTCCGACAATACCGAAATTGGCCCAGTTGCTAGCTGAGAGTAACGGAGTCCATCCCTCGTTCGTGCGAGCTTCTTTGTTGGCTCCACAGGAAAGTAGATGTTTAACAACGTCGATATTGTTGTTGTAAGATGCTCGATGGAGAGCAGTGTAGCCATCGCTATCTTTCCACTCAAAAATATTAAGATTTGAACATAATTAAGGAAACACTCACGTTCAGACGGGTTCCATCCTCCTCTATCAACGATTTCATCAAATCTAAATCGCCTTCTTCTGCCGCCGTTAGCCATCTGAAATTTATTTTTTCATAGTCATTAAATGGAAGATTTCAAAAAAGATTGTGTTTACTTTTCAATGGGGTTCTCCATATCTTTTTCTTCTAGACCTTCATTATCATCCTGCCATGCCGATACAAACATTCCAGGATTCGTTTCCTTCTTATCGCGGATCTCATCAATCAGTTCTTTCTGGAATACGAACTTTTCAGGGAGAATCAGCTTAAAATTAAATACCGTAAATCCTAAATTAACACCATCCTCCGCAGTCGATTGCGCCTCAAAGTCGTTGATGTTGTCGTCCATTTTCTGAATTCGTAAGCCCAATAATTAAATGCTAAAGCTGACACATAAAACTTGAAGTATCACACACAAATTGATAGCGTAGATATTTCTCAAACAGTGTAAAATTGAGACAAATGTTTATTGAATCACTGGAATGTATGATTGGCAAGTATCCATCCAAACAAATGTTATTTAATCTAATTAAATTTTTTCGAATCCATGCGTCCTGTCGTACCTTCTCGCTTCTTCAAGACCTCCAACGAATTGTCCAGAAACGAATACCTGAAGATATATATTAAATTTTGATTCTGACGAAATCTTAACTTACAATTGGAGACTCATTCGCTCCGTGTCGAATTTTCATCAGTTCTAAAACCATTTCAACTGGCCAATCCGCTTGCTTGTCAAATTCAAATACTTGGAATTTTGTAGAATCCATCCGGTATGTTGAAAGTAACTGGCAAACCTTTCTAAAAACCGTGAAACTAAATATTCACAGAAAGGGATTTTTTTTTTAACTGAACCTGAAATTCGGACATGTGCTCTGTCCAAAAACGGTTACTATAGCAGATGCTGGCATCGCTTCAACAATTTCCTTGGCGTGCTCACTTCGGGTTTTTGTAGAAGGCAATTGAGTAGATGACGTCGGCGTGGAGTGACCAAAAGTTTGGTATGTCTGAGAATTATAGAAGACTTTGTATGTTAAATGGGTCGAAGCATTTTTTTTTCTGACTACTTTGTTAAACTTTCGAGATTTCAACGTGAACAAGCCATCAACGAAGGTGACTTTTTCGATCAACGAAGGTAACTTTCGAAAAAATCAGTTTGATTTTAGTTAAAGATGGCGGACGCTAAAGCGACAATCTGCTATCTGAATGGTCTTTCTCTTCGCACAATCAATGAAGTAGAGAAGGTAAAAGTGTACTTTCATGCTCATTCAAACTTTCTCTTTCACAGATCTTGCGCGCTCTTCCAAAACAAGGCGATCGTTGTGAGATGCAGATTTCCAGAGCGTCTTGTGCCGATATTGGACGTAGCACTGGAGATGTCATTGCGTCAAAAGTAATTCAAATTCCATCATATCCAGCTTCAAGTATTATTTCAGAGTATGCAAATCCGTGAAGCACCAAGACCATTGGCTCTTTCTCCGCCAGTTGAGAAAAAAGAAGATGATTCGGTGGTGAAGAAAACAGATAAAGCGAAAACGAGCAAGAAAACTTCCGAATACAGTTGCATGAGTTCTGTCAAGGAGGAGATTAAAAAAATGGTAGAGCCGGTGATGAAAACAAGAATTTTGCTTTCTATTTTCAGGAAGTTCGCACTACCAACGCCTCCGGTGTGACTTCAACTACTGCTTCGAAAGTCCATTGCAAAGTTCTGACCGATCAAGTTCGCGTTTCTCCAATTGTCGCTTGTAATGGCGTGATTTTGGAGCTCGACGTGGAGGTTACTATTCCGGATCGAGAGGAAAAGAAGAAACTGAAATTGGAGATCGAATGCCCCGATTTTGTTCCTTCTCGTATGAAAATTGGAAACAAGTGGAAGAAGATCGTTGAATTTTAAGCACTTTCATATCGTACTGACGAGAGAAAATAAAGTTTTTAAAGTTTTTTTCTCTACAAATTTCAATCTCTATACTATTTTGTGATATATCTTATAATTTATAAGAGTATCAAAAGCATCTCGATTTGAATAAGAAGTCAGTTCCTGATGCAGAAAATCACCTACATAGTTGCTGAAATATTTTAGCTATGTAATAAGTTTTTGTGTTTTATAATATTTAAAAATCCATTCTTTTTTCTCATCTTTTTGAATGAATTTTTTAAATTTTTTTATTCCACGAGCACATTTAACCTCAATTCATATTTTTTTCAAGAAACTGTTCGAATTCGACCCCACTATAGTATACCCCACTGGCCTGATCTCTTTTATTGAGTTCTTTCTGCATCCTTTCAGACTTTTCTTTTTCTTTTTCCAGCCGTTTCATCGTTTCGATTTTTTCTTGTTTATTATGTTCTTCTTGCTGCCTTTTTCTTACTAATCGTATCCGATCGCTTTCCTTGTCATGCACCTCACGATCTAAATTTTCGATTTCGCACTTTTTGGTTTCATAAGTATTGCAACTCACTAAACGCTTCCTGCTTTGATTGTTTCTTCTTCTCATTTCTGTCTCTGAGTAGGTCGTAGAAATATTTTTTGTAAATGAAATAAACGATAATCGTTGCGATCACTGTCGCCCATCCATAAGCTTCGAAAAACGCCCAAGTGCTTGTTTTCAGATCTAATTCGAACAATTATGATTTTTATGGGTGACAAACTCACCCTGAAAAGCACTCATTTGTGAAAAAAAGAAGTTTTCGGAGAAATTGCAACGAAAGAACTTTTTGTTGTCCGAGTGTACTACACGACCCTCGAGTTTCTAGTCCGTGGACTAGTTTTGTCGCACTCGAGTGTGCACATTTTCCGATCGACGAATATTTTTATTTATTTTTCATTTCAGCTGGATAGTGTGCTGACATTTTTCGAATCGCTTCCTCAGAATTTAATTGTGTTGTTCAAATAAATAAAGATAGTTTCAGATTGAAAAATGGATGCTGCAACATTATCCAGACTGGAAGAGTTCGAGAAAACTAACAAGTTTTATGACGCTCTTCAATTTTATCGGACTAAAGTTACTCGAAGTTTCCGTCTAAAGTCGGCGAATGAAGTGGCTCTCGCTCTCGTGAAACATGCACTCGAATTCTTTTTCAGAGGTTCCATTTTTTCAGTTGTTCGTATTTTAAACTCCATTTTTCAGAAAAGCAGTATCAGTGTGCCATAGATATTACAACTCAATACGCCGAATGTCTCTCAAAAAACAATGCAGATCTTGCGACACCAACGCTTGAATTGCTCGCCGACAGCGTTGCCAAATTCGCCAACTTTGCAGAAATCGAAAAGGAAGCTGGTAATACTCAACAGGAACAGTTGCTCAGCACTGCACGGTGTAAATGTGTTGATTTGGCAATCCAATGGTAATTCCAGACGGTCATTCAAATAGATTAAAGTGATTTAATTCAGGACAAAGCAGAAATCTACTTCTGCCGATGAAAAGAAATATGGATCTGCCGCCTTCCACACTATTCTTGCCAAGAAGTTTCTGGCTGTTGACCATTTTGAGCTGGCTAAGAATCATTTCTTGCTTTCTGACGACTCCAAATCATTTTCTCAATTTCTGAAGGAAAAACTTGTCAAGGAACTGAATAGGTACCAGGAATCAGATTTGATAATTGTGGAAACAGTCCTCCAGGTAATTCGAATATTTTAGCTTTGACGAAAGTATTAATCATTTTCAGATTCTCTGTCTCGATCGTTTTCCATTCGCTGTGGTAGTTTTCAATGACTTCGTGAAGCCAGAAAAGTATCCGTTCAGCAAACCAATTCTCAATTTCCAACATATTTTATTCGACGTCATCGAAACCGAAAATGTAAGAATTCGACAGTTTTCAGTGGAGATAATACAATCATATATTTTTAGCAACCACAATATTCGGAACTGACCGCCAGCTATCAGTCGGAATTGAAGCGTTCGTATTCCTTCGTTGGATATCTGACAAGAATTGGTAAAATGTACTTCGGAATTCGCGATAATCAATGCATGAGTGGTGGACTGGGCGGACTTTTCTCTGGATTGCTCGGTGCCCAGAAGGAGGATGAAAGTGCTCGTTCACACATTACTTCTCGAACTCCAGCTCGCCAAATTCCTGCTGCAACAACTCAGCCAGCTCCATTTAATCCATTTACTGCGTTTGCACCACCACCTCAATCAAATCATGTTCCAAAGAAAGTTCAGAAAGTGGAAATGGAAGAGGATCTGGATTAGGCCACTATTTATTAAAGAGACTCTTAAGATTCCGTAGTAAATTTTATTTATTTTGCTTTTTATTGTTTGCCTCTCTGCTTTTCAAGAAAATCTTTCCCCGGATCTGTGGAGTCTCAATATAAAAATTGCATTCTTTATAATATAAGTATTGCTTCTTCAACTCGTTCTCTTTTATTTTATTCGAAATTCTATCCGTCTTATTGTTTTAATGTGATATTGGGTTCATAATGCTTTTCTTCTGAATAAATAGCTCAACTTTATTGACAAAACTCCCACAGTGGGCAACATTGACATAAATTAATCAACCAAAGAGAAACTCAAAACAGAATGATTTCAAAATGCAACAATTATAGTTTTTCACATTTTTGGTACTTCACGAATTCCTAGGATCTTGAAGCAAGTTGAGATGACATTTGCGGTGACTTCACAGAGAGCGAGGCGATGGAAATGAACAACAACTGGCTCTGAAAAAAAGGATGAATAAATTTCAGATCAGGGTTTGAAAAGCGCTCACCTCCTTCCTTTCTTTCAATGACGTAACACTCATTGTAGAAGTCGTGGAAGAGTGTGGCCAAGTTATAGACATAGTCACACATTTGATGAAGCATCAAAGAATCCAAAACAAGAAGCACGCAGTCCGAGAGCTTCAATAACTGTTTAGCAAGCTTCAATTCTGCTGGATGATTGAGTGGGAGAATTGGTGTCTTGGCGAGGTAATCGGCCAATTGCGAATCGGTGACTCCAGATGTTCGCACGATAGATCGGATACGAGCGTATGCGTAAAGAAGGTAGACAGCAGTGTTGCCACGATCATCAAGCATTCGATCGAATGAAAAGATGTAGTCCTAAATCGATAATCTGGATTCAATTTTAATAAAAATGCTAACCTGTGTGCGAGTATGAGACAAATCTGCGTATTTAACGCATCCAAAAGCCACAGCATCACGAGCAGCGGCCAATTCTTCCTCTGTCATCACTGCATCTCTTCCCTTCTCTTTCAACTTTTCAGTTGCCCGTTTCACTCCTTCGGAGAGCAAGTCTAGAAGACGAACTGTTTCTCCACTTCGTGTTTTGAACTTCTTCTTATCGTCTCCGAGGACAAGCCCAAAACCAACATGCTCAACTCGTTGAGTGTTTTCGTCATACCTGAAATTTTACAGAATGGGTCATACATTATATTTTCAATTTCCAACCATCCAAAATCTCTTCCAGCCGCATAAACAGTTTCTAAATGAAGATTTTGTCCCGCATCGACAACGTAGATGTTCCAGTCACATTTTTCTTCTAGCATCCTGTACTTCAGAGCAGCCAAATCAGATGTATCATATGTGAATCCTCCATCAGATTTCACAACTGTCAGTGGGACATCACATCCGGTTGGGAACATGATTTGGCGCCCCTCTTCTTTTCGGAGCATATCAGGTTCTGGAAAAAAAATTGAAAGTATTTTTTACATAATTTATTGAACACACTGTTTTCTTTGATCCACTTAACGAGTTCCACCATTTTGTCCTGATAGAACGACTCTCCAACATCTTTGATTTTGATATCCAAATGATCATAAACGATCTGGTTATCTGAAAACGAAATATTAGATAATACAAATGTGGATGAAAAAGCTAACATTTTTTCGAAACGTCACAGATCGTGTTCCATGCCTGAACGATTTCTCCATCGCGGCTTTGAAGTTTCACAACACATTCATAGGCACGCTTTTTGAACTGTTCGTCTTCGTCGAATCGTTTCTTTGACTCTTTGTAGAAAGCTTGAAGATCAGAAATATCCGGAAGTTTCTTCAAGAAATCAGGGAAGCGGTCATAGAGATGAGCAATGAGCATTCCGAATTGAGTTCCCCAGTCACCAATATGATTAACTCGAAGTACCTGAAATGTGCTGGAGTTAGTATCAAACGATTAGAAGGAGTTATACATCATAGCCAACCGCTTCGAACAGCCTACAAATGGAATCTCCAATGATTGTAGATCGCAAATGTCCAACATGCATTTCCTTGGCGATGTTTGGCGACGAAAAATCAACTAGCACTCTTTTCTTGGCTACTTTCGGAAGGGAGATTCCATTCAAAGCGAGCGAAGAAATTTGTTTACGTAGGTAATCGGCATTCAGGAAGACATTAATAAATCCGGCTGGCATGACTGCGATTTTCTCTACAAAGTCGATATTTTCAGGCAACTTGGCATGAATCTCTTTGCCAACATCTCCTGGCTTTTTGTTGATTCCAGTGGCTTTTAGTATCTGGAATAATTAAAGGGGAGTGCACTTCGAATCTTCCATGTCTTACCGCTGCGATAGGCATAGCAGAATTACACTGATAGTCTCCAAACTGCGGGTTCGGTGTTTCAGCCAAAAGGAGAGGAACATCTAGTCCTGGGAATGCATCCTCGATTGCTTTTTTGAATAGTGACTGAAGTCGCCCGAAAATGCTACTACCATAGTCGTTTACGGTGACATAGTCAACCTTTTTAGCTTGCTTTGGTGCTGCACCACCGCTGAAAATAACCGAGACAATGAAAATCGAAAAGGCACATTGGTTGTAGAGATACATTAATTATGGTTCTGTTTAGTCTAAATAGAATAGGAGCTAACATATCTTATGATAAAACGACGGTTAAAGATAAAAATTTAGATTCAAGGGTATAATCGACCTAGAATTCTTTATACCGCTTTTCAATTGACAACCTCATATTTAAAATTATTACACGCACTTTTTGCCGTCTTTCTTTGCTTTCTTCTCAACAGGCGCTGAAGAAGATGCTGATGGTTCCGAGGCTTTCACCCCATTCTTCTTGTTTTTGGCAAATTGCTCAGCAATACTTCTCTCGAGGATAGTTTTCCGATACTTCAGCTTATCATTAAGCTTTTTGGCTTCACTGAGCTCTGGAATGTGCTCCAGAAGTTCGTCGGTTAGGTCTCCTTTCTCCATAGCTGCGATTAAACGGTTGAGGAGAGTTGCCTGGTCCAACTGAAATGTGATTTTAAGAATTGCGAGGAAAACGCCGTTAGCATTGGAACAACTTTCTCAACACACATTTTTTGCCATCAAGCCATGTAGACATTAACTTTTTTTGGTATAGAAATGTTCTGATATTCATATGTTCTTTAACTTGAACATAGTTGCCTAACTTTTGCAAGTTGTGTTTTCTAGGTCATCATTATAAATGGCCTAGAAAACAAACCAGGTGCATGCTAGACTACTTCTCAGCCATAATATTTAGTGGCCCAGAAAACTGATGTTGGGAGGGTTAGGCCACAATCTTAGACGACCTAGAAACTTCATTTGAAAAAAGAAAATTGTTTCAAACGGCCCTTTTTAGCTAATATAAACACTGTTTCGAAATTTGAACGAAATATTCTGATACCCATCCTTCGGAAGATTTCGTAACCGCATATTAGTGTGCACATATTTTTTGAGTTGAAGAAAACATATCGCTAATATTTTAGCAAAAACAAATTTGTGACCCTTGAAAGTGGGAAAATTTCAGGTTACGGTAGTTTTCGCTGTTAGGCCTTCGGTCACGGATGTCAATTCCTCTTCCGCCGTTTTTAATACTAGTATGTGACAGCTTCCAAACTTTTATTTAAATTTTTGAGTTTTACTCACCGCAGATGAATAGTCAGAGTATCCTTGTTGCAATTCTTTGTTCGCAGACATTGTGAACCCTAAAATGGCTGCCAGCTTAGAATACACTGATGCACATGGTAAGATACTCTGACATTGTACACAGGAACATTTGCCGAAAATAATATTTCAAATACGGGATGTCGTTCATGAATTTTTTTCAGATCAAGATGAGATAATGAGAGAAAGAGAGAGCAAATGTGATGTAGAATTAATCAAACAACAACAAAAAATGTAACAGATGGGAACAGAAATTTAGAAATCGGTTTTTTTCATCAGTAAATATAGATTCATATCCACTTCGAACCCGTGCAAGTTGATTGCTTCTCCTTTGAGACGCATGAGAAGACCGCCAAATGAAGCATAGGCTGCGAGTTGTCCGCCGTCAGTTCCACTGTCATCATCTTCCAGTCGGTAAACTTTTCCATACATCACGTACTCATACTGCTTGATACGAGGGTACTCGGCCTGAAATTTCACTTGAAAAAATAGCTCCTATTGTGATTTCGTATGTACCTTTGGGTCATATTCTCCCTCGTCGGCAAGTCCGTCTTCCCGAAGTGTAGTAGCTAGGACAAGTCGGAATTTGTCATTTTGCTTCAACGGGTAGATTTGTGAGTTGATATCGATGATGAGTTCCATTCTTCAAATTAAATTATCCATATTCAATATTTCCGACATAAAATACTCACTTGAATGACTCTGCATCACAAAAGTATCGGGACACCCTATCGAACTTTTTGCCATCTGGATCGACGCTTTTAACGCTGAACATGTCATCGAAAATGATGCCAGCCATTTTCTGGAACGAAAAACTGAGATTATTGAAGTTTATAACAGCAGACAAGAATTCTTGTTAAGATAAGATTGGTTTTCTTCTCGCAAAAAGCGTTTTCGTAACGAAAAGGGAAAAAATATTGAGATATTTTCAAAGGCGCATGTATTTATGCAAGAGGGTCTCGGCACGACTCAGCGTTTTACGGCGGGAGTTTAAAAAACAAAAGGACGATGCAAACGAGAGGGGACAGTGCTTGACAGTGTTTTTCGCGAAGAAAAAGCGGATGTTCATGTTCATAAGCTAAAATGTTTGATATTGATAATTCAAAGAAGTTATCACTTATCGTAAGCTTATTTCAATAATCAGCATCGATAAAATTTTATTAAAACCGATTCACAGGAGAGGAATACATATTCTTCACAATTTTAGAGTTTAAAAGTTGCCGATTCTTGTGTATGTCCGTCAAAAACAAAAGTGTTATCAATTGGAACGTATTGATTGGTCGCCAATTTGATGATTTCTTGAGATGCGATTCCGCCGACGTACGACGAGATGACGTGCAGCTCTGCAGCTCCAAAGCGGCACATTTCTGCGATGGCTGAATCAGTAACGTTGTGAAGCATCGGTTGGATATCTTCATTTTCCTGAAATCGAATTTATTATGGAACTATTGAAATCCCGGTTTTAACCTTCACGGATTCTTTAATCAAAGCTTCCACTCGTTTTCTGAGATCTTGAGCATCGATAGATACAGGAACACCGTTCGTTCCTGGGAATCTTCCTTTTTCCTTTTTAAATCGTCCAGCAGCTCTCATCAATAACATCCATGTGGCGCTATCAACCTTCTCAGCTCGAGTCTGTTCATCAACAGTAATCTCTCGAATCTTGGCCACAATTTCCTTCGTCTCGCGACTATAATCCAACAGGTCCCCATTTTGCACACGGATTCTGTCAGCATTTTTGCAGAACCTGTAGCAGACTTCTTCCGAAATGACGTCTCCAACTCCTCGCTCTTTCTCAACTTCACGAGTGAAACGGAGAACTTCTTGGGCGTCAGCTAATGCTTTCTCATGGAACATTGTAGCAAGACGAGTGTACCGAGATGAATCAGACGTCATATCTGGAAGTGTTCCACGAAGTGGCAGAAGCCCGTTATTCGCGTCAACGAAGCGACGAAGAGCTTCGCAAATGAGCCAAAATGGTTGGGTGGAAGTGGAGCATTGCGAGGAAGTGAGAATCGATTTCACCGAAGCGCCAATCTGAAGCTAGGATAATTATATAGTTAGAACGGTTCAAGATTAACGTACAGTAGTTTTTTGAAATGCTCTCATCACAGCAGCTTTTGCTTCATCAAAGTTCTCGGAATCTTTTGTTCCGGAATCTTCCTTTGACCTGCGGAAGCTTAGGAGAATCTGTTGAATTTCTTTGCGATCGCTAGTAGTTGTCGGGAATGCTTTCTCATCATTTCGCTGTTTTCGAAATTCTTCGAGAGCTGAAAAGTATGGGTTCGTAATGAACGTTGAGGATAAAACGTACCTTTGAAATGAAGAAGTATATAAGGTGTATGCCGAAGTTGTTCAATGGTCATATCGTTCAAATCTGTTTCAGCAATCATTTCTGTGAGCTTTTTGAATGGAGCATCCAATCTGTAAAGCACATTTTTGGAGGTCTTTAAGCCGGAGAGTTTAACTACGAAAGTGTATTTTCAAATTTCGAACGACAAAAAACAGAATCCGAATATCTTAAATTATGTCTAAACACAGATTTCTTTCGCTGCTTTCCCAAGCACCTACCGCAAATCAGGTCGTGGATTCTCTTCATGGGAATTCGCAATGGTGTGTTCTTTGATACAGATTCGAATTGTTCCAATTAGTCCAAAAGACCTGAAAGTATTCAATTATTCAAAAATATATCACAAGAAGAATGGCCACTTACTTGATACATACAAACGGTACGGAAATGTCGTACAAAACTTGAGCGAACTTAGCGTCAACTTCCTCTGTTTGGTTTACTGCCACAACTACAGAGAATGTGGCCAATTTCTCTACGTCTTCTTGAGTGAGCGCTGTTGGAGATTGACAGCTCGAACTTCCTAGTACGGATGGATTCAACTCCGTTAATTTTTCCAACGTGGCTTCAGCACGAGGTCTCCCAATGTCGTCAATGTGGAGAAAAAAGTTCTGACCAATATCGACTTGCTCAACCCGCGCATCGTCGACAATGTAAAATGACTGAACACCAGCAAGAACGAGAGATTTCAAGGTTTCGGTTGCTGAAACGAATCGATTTAAATTCAACTGATCCTGAGCTGCATAGTATTACCTAGAGAATCGCTTCCGAGGACACAAGCACTGGTTGAACCTATCGACGCTTGACCGTCTTCTCCCCATAAACGGACCTGGCGATCATATCGATTGGAAGGATCAAACAACTTCGATGTGACCATTCTGAAATTGTTGAATATATAACATTCGAATAGTGTGAAAAACAAGATAAGATAAGGGAACCCGGTAAAGAACGGTGAGAATATACGGAGATTCGAAAACGAATAAAAAACCTTCATTGAAGAGAAACATTTTACACGAAAACTATGAGTTGACACAAAATAAAAAATCTTTCATTTTTTCTTATCATGAAGAGACTTTCGATCCCATTTCATATTAGTAAAAGAGTCCGGACGGAGATAGGTCAGTTCATCAAATTTGTTTCGCATGCATGCAGTACGACCAAGGACAAATAGAAGATCGCTCATTCTGAAATAAATAGAAATTGATGGTGTATTGATTTTGACTGAAAAAAAATTCTAATGACTTCTTCGGAAAATCGATACATCTGACCTGTTCAAAAACTTGAGAGCCATCGGATCAATGTTCTCTTCTCTCATCAAAGGTACAACACTTCTTTCCGCACGACGACAAATTGCTCTGGCATATTGTAGATTAGCTGACGTAACGCCTCCTCCTGATAGAATGAACTGACGAATGGCTGGCAAATCATCACCATACCGATCGATTTCCGCATTAATCCATTCTACCATTGCTACATCAAACATGGTCTTTTCTGAAAGTTGATACTATAATGAGCAATTCATTACTTCGCCATTTTATAATATCTTTCATAAGAACAGAGAAAAATTAGTTCAAAGTGGACAGTCAGGGTGAAACTCTATTAGAGGTTTTACCGTACTTTGTTTTCTTTCTGAAGAGCTTTTAGGAGGCGTTGCAAGATGTGCTCCAACATCCTGAAGGCAGCATTGAAGTCTCGTCAATGTCTCCACCACGTCATCCATTCCGCCATCGTTTTGAGCGGATGATCCACAAACTCCAAGATACGACGAGAGTTCATCAGTTGTTCCAAGAGCATTGAATGTGTCGTCGTCTTTCCAACGCCGTTCGCTGTTGTACAAAGATGATTGACCAGAGTCGCCGGTACCGCGCCCTAAAAAACAGTCCAGGCTACTGAATGGATTGTCTCGTCTTACCCTGCTTGAATCCTCTTCCTGAATTAGAAGAAGTCATGGAAAAGAAACGGGATCCTACAAATGGGGTTGATCTAGTGATACTAACAGCCGACTGAGACGCAGCAGCACGTACAAAATTTCTTATCATCTGAAAAAGGAAAGGAAGCAGTTTTTTTTTGTTTCGCCCTTTGGCTCCATAGTATTATTCTGGAACAAAAAGTGGAACTGCCTCAGGAAATTTTGGGCAAGCAAACGGCAAGTTGCTGAGCACATTCAGCAAGTTGCTGGATGAATTAGCAAGTTGCTACTGCTTGCTGACCTTGTTCCAAGAGGGTTGTACAACAGCAAGTTGCCGCATGCATGAAACAGTTTTAGCAAGTTGCCATTTGCTTGCCGTGAAAAGAGCAAGTTGCCGATCTCTTGCTGCGTTCAGATGACATTCAAATGTTCTCGAATTATTGATTTTCTTTTTGTCCTATTTTGTCCTATTTTTTTCTTGATTTTATTGTATTTCAAACTAACTTCACAACGAAATGAAAGGAAAGCTTGAAGGTAATATTAAAAATGTATATTGCTAGAAAAATTAATATCTTTTAAGGTTTGGACCTCAGGTAAATCGGAAAACCTTTCTGAGCTACATTTGAGCATTTGAGCAATTCTGAAACCTTTTCAAGCAAAAAGTCCACGATTAAACTTTTTTAAGCCACAATCAAACTTTTCAAACTTTTCTAAGCAACTTGTAAACTTTATTCAGCAGCGCCCGAAACTGAAACTTTTTAAAGCCACAGTTAAACCTTTTTCAGTCATATTTAAACTTTTCAAACCTTTTTGAGCCTTATTAAAACTTTTCTGGCTTTTCGAAAGATTTATTATGTTTTTAAAAATTATTTTACCTAATTTTGTTTTACTTTTATCATCTTTTAATTTTTTGTTCGTTTCCATATGTTTGAAAGTCGTAAAATGCTTATTTGAGAGAAGATCCAAATCACAATCTCCTGGAATCGTAATCTATTGCTCAAGAACTATCATCGAAAAAACGTCATGATGAATCATTGAATGAGAATTCAAACCTGCCGTCAGAACGGAGTAATTTAGCCTACGGTTCGTCAGTTTTAGTAAAAAATGAATTTACCTATCATAATTTCAGACAAGTTACACCAATATGAGGAAGACTAGATCATGATCGCGATCACATGAACCCGCTCCGAAGACACTATCGAAACTACGTATGAATCAGGAGAGAACGCCTTCCATAACAGTGAGTTGTAGCTCTTAATATCTATTTCTAAAAATTTTGAATATTTCCAGGAGGATATGATATTGGGCTGATAACAACGGGGATGCGCCACGATCTGAGGTTCAAAGATGTTTCGAGATCGAGATTCCACTTCAGTTTAAATTTTCTTGTTTTTTTGTTAATTTCTTTTTCTCTAAGGAATTTATTTTCTGAAAATCCGTCTCAAAAGAATCAATAGTTTAAACCTTTAGTAGAAACGATAAAACCTTTTTAGCAGTAAAACAACTTTTTTAAGCAACGAATAAACCTTTTTAATTATCAAAAAACTTTTCTAAGACCTTCTCTAACTTTTTCAGGCAACGAGTAAACTTTTTTAAGCAACAGTAAAACTATTATTAGCACTTTCAAACTTTTTCGAGCAATGGATAAACTTTTCTAAGCAACAACGAAACTATTCTAAGCCCTTTATAAACTTTTTCAGCCGTGGTTAATCGGGCACCTTTTTTAGTTTAATCGTGGCTTGTTTATGGCTCAGAAAGGTTTTCCGAACTACCTGAGACAGCTCGGACTAAGATCACCGAGGAACAAGAAATTGGGGAAAAGTCGAATTATATGTTCGAAAGTATCATTATGATACGATCCACAAAGAACGAGTGGTTTTATCAAGTTAAATATCGAAGAACAACTGGAAAAGCGAACGATTGAAGCATCGACACAGTGAGTTGCTACCTTCAAAAACAATCTTCAGATCTTTTTTTTCAGTTATCACACTATTTCTCACAACCTATGCGACAAGCCTGATATGAAGTTGGATCGCATTTCGAAATTTTTTTTACAAAGTAAAAAATATTTCTCAAGCAGTTCATGAAATCTTATTTTCAGAAGTTCTTGCATTTGCATACAGTCCACTCCGTGAGAACCCTCTGCTATTATAATCGTTCGTGATGCGAAACGTTGAAAATATTACTCTTGTCCGAAATAAATGCACGTTGCGGCCGAGAAAACAACGGTGGGCGGAGCTTAGCTTCCACAGAGAGAACCTTACTGTATTTTTCAAATTATTGCACGCGCCTTTGATACAGTACCTCAACATTTATCGAATTTTCTCAAATTTCTCTCATTTTTTCGCTTGTTTCTGTCTAATTTTGTCTAATTCTTATAAATCTTCAATTTATTTTTCTTATAAAATAGAAAAAAACAGCCAAATAGGGCCCAAAATAAAAAACGTACGAGGTACAGTATTTAAAGGCGCATGCATCAATTTGTTTTTTTCGCTGTGCGACCGACGATGCGATTTTGAGTAAATTTTCGGCCGCAACGTGCATTGATTTCGGACGAGAGTAATAATTGAACGTCGAAATTTTTCTTGAATGTCGAAGTTGATGGAAATTTAAGATACACATTTAGAAGAACTCAAAACGCGAAGGAATGCCTACGTATTTGCAAGAAACGTCCTCAAATTCATGGAAAAAATTTCGGATTTAATTTGAATATTGTTGCCCCAATCTCCCTTATTTTGTACCCTCCACCTATAGTTGACTTCCTTTTTTCCTACTATTGTTTTCTCACTCTGTTTCCTCAATAAATATGTCCTATATAAATATGTACACTTCGAAATTATGAGAAAAAAACGCTCTTAATTCGGCAAGTTGCCATCTAGATTTCATGAAGAACGGCAACTTGCTTTATAAAACAGCAAGTTGCTGACCCGAAAAAACGGCTTGCCGTTTGTCAGCGGCAAGCACTTTTTACGGCTTAGCAACTTGCTAATATTGGGCAGCAACTTGCCGGAAAATTCCCTGAGTGTGGAAGAGAAACGCGGGTAGTCATGGCTGAAGGTCCCGAAACGACCACTAGCGTAACCTAAAAAAAATAGTTTGTCCACTTTTCAAAGTAAAATAACATAAAACTTGACGAAAAGCAATGAAAATCGAGTAAATAAAATTATCACCAGGTTACGGTAGTCGTCGTTTTGAGGCCTTCGACCACAGCCACCGGCGTTCCTTTTCCACAGCTCCGATTTTTATACCAGTATAATACTATAAAGTGGGAACAAATATGCTGACGGGATACGAAAACACTGCTACAAAAGAGAAAAGAAACTGAGTATGCTTCCATAGTTTATTGCTATGTCAAAGAATAACGATAATTTTTAAAACGAACTATATTCCAGACTGTCTGAAAGAGTTGGGTTGAAAAATTCAAAAAAAAAAACAGAGAATTGCAATGAGCGTTCCAGAAAGACGATTAGAGTTCATAGGGAAATTAAAGATTTCTGGGGTTTCAACTGGTATTTGAGAACAAAAAAATATCCTATAAGAACAGAAAGTAGGTTTAAGGAGGATAAGATGACAGTGGCTACTACAGATCAAAGAATGATATCGCTTAGGTGTTACAAAGCAACTGGTTTAGAAAAAAGTCTGAAAAAATCACTTCAAAAATATAAATTATACAGATCTTGGAAAAATTAGGAACCGGCCTTAACTATTGTTCAACGCTTTGGGATAATGGCGGCTAAATAATGATACACTTCCCTATCGAACCAGCGAGGAGGGAAAAAACAGGGGAATATTAAAGAGGGACTCCGACCAGAAATTTTTATTGCATTAAAATGTGTTAAAATTTATCTATTTTTCAAATATTATTGCGAAAAAATTCAAAGAAAATCCGAAATCCCCGAAAAACGGCGTTGAAAAGGAAGAAAATTCAAAAAAAGGTGCCGCCGGGGGA